ATAAGTTGTATTTTTGAGGATTAATTTTATTATTGAACAACAACCATGTTCTCAATGAACCCAAAAAACTCATTAATAAGCTGAATATTTTTGGAAGTAGTTTTTAGTTTGTTTTTAGTTATAGCTATGTTAGGGGGATATCTGTGTGTGCAGGTGACTATTACTGTGCATAATTATTAGGCAACTTAACAAAAAACAAATATACCCATTTCAATTATTTATTATTACCAGTGAAACCAATATAACATCTCAACATTCACAAATATACATTTCTGACATTCAAAAACAAAACAAAAACAAATCAGTGACCAATATAGCCACCTTTCTTTGCAAGGACACTCAAAAGCCTGCCATCCATGGATTCTGTCAGTGTTTTTGATCTGTTCACCATCAACATTGCGTGCAGCAGCAACCACAGCCTCCCAGACACTGTTCAGAGAGGTGTACTGTTTTCCTCCTTGTAAATCTCACATTTGATGATGGACCACAGGTTCTCAATGGGGTTCAGATCAGGTGAACAAGGAGGCCATGTCATTAGATTTTCTTCTTTTATACCCTTTCTTGCCAGCCACGCTGTGGAGTACTTGGACGCATGAGATGGAGCATTGTCCTGCATGAAAATCCTGTTTTTCTTGAAGGATGTAGACTTCTTCCTGTACCACTGCTTGAAGAAGGTGTCTTCCAGGAACTGGCAGTAGGACTGGGAGTTGAGCTTGACTCCATCCTCAACCCGAAAAGGCCCCACAAGCTCATCTTTGATGATACCAGCTCAAACCAGTACTCCACCTCCACCTTGCTGGCGTCTGAGTCGGACTGGAGCTCTCTGCCCTTTACCAATCCAGCCACGGGCCCATCCATCTGGCCCATCAAGACTCACTCTCATTTCATCAGTCCATAAAACCTTAGAAAAATCAGTCTTGAGATATTTCTTGGCCCAGTCTTGACGTTTCAGCTTGTGTGTCTTGTTCAGTGGTGGTCGTCTTTCAGCCTTTCTTACCTTGGCCATGTCTCTGAGTATTGCACACCTTGTGCTTTTGGGCACTCCAGTGATGTTGCAGCTCTGAAATATGGCCAAACTGGTGGCAAGTGGCATCGTGGCAGCTGCACGCTTGACTTTTCTCAGTTCATGGGCAGTTATTTTGCGCCTTGGTTTTTCCACACGCTTCTTGCGACCCTGTTGACTATTTTGAATGAAACGCTTGATTGTTCGATGATCACGCTTCAGAAGCTTTGCAATTTTAAGAGTGCTGCATCCCTCTGCAAGATATCTCACTATTTTTGACTTTTCTGAGCCTGTCAAGTCCTTCTTTTGACCCATTTGGCCAAAGGAAAGGAAGTTGCCTAATAATTATGCACACCTGATATAGGGTGTTGATGTCATTAGACCACACCCCTTCTCATTACAGAGATGCACATCACCTAATATGCTTTATTGGTAGTAGGCTTTCGAGCCTATACAGCTTGGAGTAAGACAACATGCATAAAGAGGATGATGTGGTCAAAATACTAATTTGCCTAATAATTCTGCACTCCCTGTACACACACATGGGATGATGTATTGGGGAACACAGTGACATTGTGAAGGGATTAAATAATCTGTAGCTATAAATGTCAATGTTACGGGGGTGGAGCCAGAGCCCAAGTGAGATGGACGCATCCCGCAGTAGCTCTGCAAGAAACCATGGCCAAAAGCTGATTATTGGCAAAAAGAACACACTTACCAAGCCCTACAACACTTCCTGAGTGCCTAATGCCATGGGCAAGAAGGCAAAGAAGTATAGAGCTGATCTCAACTCGGGCTCCCGATATCGGGGCTTTCATGTGCACGGCCATGAGGCCTGACCCATCTAAGATGGTGCTGGCAGAGATCTCCACTTCACCATCATTGGACAAAAAGAGCCCAACGGCCACCTTCTTGTTACCATCAAAGGTACAAGCTAAGCCTATGACACCTCTGGAGCTAGAAGACTTTGCTACCTCCACAAAGGCCGACATAAAGGCTTTGGTGAAAGAAATACAGGCAATGTTCCACGCTGACATGGCGCTGGTATGGGAGGAAATCTCCACTATCACAGGCTGACAACAGTCGAAGAGGTCTTAAAAGCACTGGCATCGCCCAAACAGTCACAGATGCAGCTCTGGAAGTGCTACACAAGCAATGCAGTAACCTGACCACACAGCTAGCAATTATGGAGGATTGGGCTAAGGCACAGAACATGAGGATTCGAGGGGTGCCTGAGTATGTCACCAGCTCTGAATTACCCCACTACTGCCGGAGGCTCATAGCCACATTATTGCTATCTAAACAAGTTAAGCAGCTCGTGGTGGATTCCTGCTTTCGGTTACCTAGGGCAACAACAGCACCCATTGTTTTGTTTGCTTATGTTTTATTTTAAAAAGTTCCAGTTTGACTTTTAATTTGCTTATGATATACCTTTAACACAGATCGCTACCTTCCCTCTGGCTCTGTAAGCTGACAGCCAGTCACCATGCCCAGTTATTACCCCCGCCAAATTTATCTAAATGTGCTCCTTCCTACATCAAAAGTACAAGCATGTCAGCACTACACTGTACAGGCTAAACGCCATGAGAGCACTAGGTTCTTAACTCCTTAAGACCGGAGGGCGTACTATTACGCCCTATTTTAAGTGGTTCTAAATGCCGCCGGGCGTAATAGTACGCCCTCCGTTTTTTTTGTACTTACCCGGTCGCCGGCGATCCCACGCCAGCGATCGCGGTTGGGGGGACTCCCAGGGAGCCCCCCGCGGCACTTTCGACCCCCTGGCCATGTGAGAGTGAGGTCCTTGCGAGGACCTCACAATCACATGGCCGGGTTAGCTGGCTTCTGTATTGCCAGCAGGAAGACTGCCTGTAATGACAGGTGGTCCCCCTGCTGGCTGGAAATAAAATAAAATTAAATTAAAAATAAATTAAATTAAAAGTGTAAAAAAAATTGATATACTTAGATCATATATATATATTTTATATATATATATGATCTAAGTATATATATATATACACATATACATACACACACATACACTGTCTAGGTGTATTTTACTATTAATATATATATAATTATATATATATATATCAATATCAAATTACATGTAGACTGATACTGATTAAATATATATATATATATATATATATATATATATAATTATTGTTATATATATATATTTATATATAATATAAAAAAAATATGTAAATACATTAAAAAATAAAATTAAAAAAAGAATTCAAAATAAATAATTAAAAAATATATAGATGTGTGTTATTTTGTTCTAACTGTATTGTGATATTAATATATATATATATATATTTATATCAAAATACACGTAGAACTAAATAATATATATATATATATATATATATATATCTATATACATAAATATATATATATAAAAAATATTTTAAAAAATTATTTATATACATAAGTATATATATATATATATACATATATTAATTCTACATATATATTTATGTAATATTTTTACATAATTAGGTATCTTAATTAATTACAATTAGCGGGACCTGCCTGACAACCCATGCCAAAAGTAAAGGGAATTTAATTTGCTAGCACTATATTTAACCCTATAACTTTCCAAGACACCATAAAACCTGTACATGGGTGGTACTGTTCTACTCGGGAGACTTCGCTGAATACAAATATTAGTGTTTCAAAACAGTAAAATGTATTAGAACGATGATATCGCCAGTAAAAGTGATGTTTTTTGCATTTTTCACGCACAAACTGCACTTACACGGACGATATTATTGCTGCGATACTTTTTACTATTTTGAAACACAAATATTTGTGTTCAGCTAAGTCTCCCGAGTACAACAGTACCCCTCATGTACAGGTTTTATGGTGTTTTCAAAAGTTACAGTGTCATATATAAGGCTTATGTTTCATTTTTTTCACATTAAAATTCGCCAGATTGGTTACGTTGCCTAATGAAAATTACCCCTATGATGGCATACCATTTGCAATAGTAGCTAACTTTGGCTAGTGTTTGTGACCAAATGGCTACTAAAAAAGAATGGACATACCCCATTTGCAATACCTTGGGTTGTCTACTCTTGCAAATGGTATGCCATTATGGGTGTAAATTTCATTCCTGGGCTACTATACAGTGTCAAAGGCAACGTAACCAATCTGGCGAATTTCAATTTCAAATGTAAAGTGTTATATCTGACCCTGTAACTTCCCAAAATGCCATAAAACCTGTACATAGGGGGTACTGTCTTACACGTGAGACTTTTCTGAATACAAATATGTGTATTTTATTGCAGTAAAAGCAAACAGTATTATGACATTGACAGTTAAAATGTCATGCAAAACTAAAAAAATTTTTTAAAAATCTTATTTTCTCCCATTTTTTTCATATTAAATTATGTTTCATAGCTAAATATTTGATATTAAATGAAAGCCCTGTTTCCCTTGAATAAAATGATATATAATAAGGGTGGGTGCATTTACTATGAAAGAGGTTAATTATGGTTGGACAGACAGACAGCGCAAATGCCAGGTTTTGTTTACATTTTGTTTTGTTCACAACGTGTACATTTGGCTCCGTCCTTAAGGAGTTAACAAACCTGATGACAATCCTTTTAATTAACCCACACACACCTTAAGCGGACTTAGTCTCAGACAGAACCGTGTTTGTTAATACTGAGGGTGCGAGCGCTATTAGCTAGCGACCTCTAGTCCATAGTTCCCTACCTGTTTGTTTAGACGCGAGGTTTCAAAGTTTGAACAATATAAACAATAGGATGTAGACAATGCAAGTGTTGTTAATTTTGCTGAATTGTATACAAGATGATGGATACTCTTTCTGCACACGTTGTAATGTGCCATCAATGCTTACCCACAAAAATAAAGAATTATATAAAAAAAAGGCAATGTTACATATTCTGAATAGTGATGTCCCGAACGGTTCGCCGAACGGTTCACCACGGACGGCGAACATATGACCCCGTACCTCACAGTCAGCAGACACATTCCAGCCAATCAGCAGCAGACCCTCCCTCCCAGACCCTCCCACCTCCTGGACAGCTCACTAAGAATGCAGCTTCAAAATGGATGCTGTCCAGGAGGTGGGAGGGCCTGGGAGGGAGGGTCTGCTGCTGATTGGCTGTAATTTGTCTGCTGACTGTGAGGTACAGGGTCATATGTTCGCCGTCCGCGGCGAACCGTTCGGCCAACCGTTCGGGACATCACTAATTCTGAATTGTTATTTATTTATAATACTGTTTTCTTATCTGCATCTTTAATTTCCCCTCCAACCAAACTAATCATTTTGATATCCACTAACCAATGTGATATTCAGGCATATGGAAACAAAAAAAAAGTGAAGGGGTTAATTCATGAAAATTAGCTGTGGTATTCAACTACCGATACTGATTTGAGAGAAAGCCATTGTCTGTAATTATCTGTTTGTCTTACATATTATTTTCCATATATTTATCCATGTATCAGCCCTCCCACAGCACATGACAACATCTCAACCTCACTCTGTGTCCGTGAATTTAAAGGGACACTAAAGGCATCCAGACCACTTCAGTTCATTAAAGTGCTAAGGGTGCAGTGCCCCTGTCAGTTTAACCCTGCAATTGTTTATTGCAGCTATTGATACTCAGCAATAATTGCATTGTATAGTTATTTCCACTTCTGGGTCGTTAGGCGACTTTTGGTCGCCTAACTGATGTTGGATGTCCTCACGTTTAGCATAAGGACATCCAACCTCAGCTAAAACCCCATAGGAAAGCATTGATTCAATGCTTTAATATAGAGCAGTCCTAATGATATTGAGTTGTGCTCACTGCACATTCGCATTAGATCCCTGATGCTGGAGGGAGGTACAACTATGCAAATTTATTCCTAGCACTATTGTTTCCCTTTAAATAACAAAAAGATGAATGAAACTGTTTTATCAGTTACGGGTGTTTTACTAATTAGATAAGGAACACTAAAAAGCAACCCAATATAGTTGCCATCTGTCCCAAATTTCCCCATGTCTTTGGCTACTTTTCTGGCAAAAATGAATGTTTGGGCTTGTTCCACATTCTAGAGGTGAAGCTAACAGTTGTGAAGTCAGCGTATCCACCCCAGGGCCAACTTGAAGGTGGCTATATATTTGTTTTCTGTATTTCTTTAATTGTATCTTTGTGTGTCAGTGTTAATATGTATGTGTGTGTGTGTGTGTGTGTGCGCACCCATGTGTTTCTGTATATGTGTCAGTGGGCATGTGTATCTATGAATGTTTGTGTGTCATTGTGGATCTATCTCTTTAAATGTATATGAACATATTTTCTTGGGCAGAGTATTTTTTATTAGAAGCTGGCTGAAGGACTTTGGTTAAGTTTGACGCATTCTGAAATTTCACACATTGATATTCCTTTTTTGGCCAATGTTATAAAAGCTAAGAATGTAAACGAGAATGACAAAAAAAAAAAAAAATTAAAAGAAAAATATTGGGAATGTATAGTTTAAATTCAAGTTAATTCTATTTAATAATATGTAGTATTATTTCCAAATATTGCAACTAATTATGTACAGGTTTTATGGTGTTTTCAAAAGTTACAGTGTCATATATAAGGCTTATGTTTCATTTTTTTCACATTAAAATTCGCCAGATTGGTTACGTTGCCTTTGAGACCCTATGGTAGCCCAAGAATGAAAATTACCCCTATGATGGCATACCATTTGCATTCTGAAATTTCACACATTGATATTCCTTTTTTGGCCAATGTTATAAAAGCTAAGAATGTAAACGAGAATGACAAAAAAAAAAAACAAATTAAAAAAAATATTGGGAATGTATAGTTTAAATTCAAGTTAATTCTATTTAATAATATGTAGTATTATTTCCAAATACTGCAACTAAAAAGGTTAATGTAGTGGATTTGCACATTTAAGAAGGTAACACTTTAAGGGACTCTCTTAAGCATACATTTAATGTTGTGGTCCTGGGGTAAAGTAACTGCCCCTGCAGTATCTTCAATGTGAACATTGCCTTTAATGAGAAATGACCATGTTTACATTGGTTCCTAAGGACACTACTAGCTTCCTGTTGTTGCAATCTTTGCAGGGTCAATGTTTGGTGTTTTCACACTCTGCTAATGCTAATGTACCAAGCTGTGTTGTATGGATTATGAAGAAATGTAGCTGGCCAGCTGTATGCTCCGAGACTATTTAATTATCAGTGGCCTGAGATTTTCTATAAATGTTAATAATACCGAGGTGCTTGTCATTACATTAAATTTACACGGTTCTAACTTGCCATGAAAATACAGGCATCAAAGATAATTGCATTAACAAGCAAGTGAACTGATAACCTTCAACAAAACCTTTGCACATTGAGATTTACGAATATGTAGTTAATGATTTTTGGCGACCTTTTGGTGAATTAAAATATACAAATGAGATTTTCTGACTTTTTAACATGCATTTAGCAAATATTTCATATCTTGTCCTGAATGAATACAGTAAATGTCACTGCTGCTCTAGTGTCAACAGCCTCTTCCTTGTTTTTCATTTTTTAATTAAATTGTAGATGTTGTAAAAGTGTTATTTTATCATATTTTACTTAGCAGGTAGATTGTAAGCTTGCAATACAGTACTTGAAATATACTGTTATGATGCATTTATATTTATCAGACTAATATCCTGGTGAGCCGAGCACTGTCTTCCAAAATTCAACATAAATAGAAGGTGGTTTATTCACTAAATTAGCAATTATGGAAAATTGTCCAGAACTATAAATTATAGACCTAGACCACAATAGTCAAAAATTCTCTACCTCAGCTATTTTTCCAGCTTCATTATTTTGTTCAGAATTTTGCAATTTGTTTTTTTTTACTTCTCCACAATTCTCTAATGCTAAGATCTGAACTATAATTGTGCTAATTAAACACAAAAAGTTTAGAATGTAATAATAAATTAAATCCATTAAATATTGAAATTAAACAAGGTTTCAAAATTTATATAAAATGTTTATTCACTAACGTGAGAATTTGACATGAATTCAAATTTAAGGTCAAAATAGCTGAATGAGTCAGCTTTCAGTTTGTATAAACTGGCCCTAAATTTGAATTTGCTTTGAATCCATCTTAACGACCCAGTTAGGCTTTGAGGAGCATTGTAAGAGCTACAATATATTTTACATAGTTTTTCTTATTTCATTGAAGAGGATGACTATTAGACTAGCAGATTTTTAAAATATAAGAATCTAACTTAAGGAAAATTATTTGTTTTAATATTTATTGTAGTCCCCACCCTATATTATTTACTTCACAATGGCGAGGGATATGTTTGATAAATACGTTAACATAAGGAATTCCATTGACCAAACCCAACATTCCAGTAGCTGGTCTTACATCAATGGCTCCCTCTCTGATACTAGGTGAGAACAGCAAACATGAGATGCAATCTCCGTATTGATTTGTAAAAAGCAACTGACAGCAAAGACTGGTTAAAGAACTACAACAAAGGACTATAGGAGATAATAAAGCTGAAATAAAATGATTCAGCCCTTCAGATACGGATTCAGTTTCTGCTTTGAAAGACCTGGAAAAATCAGATTGAATTGGGACCTGTTATTGTTTTTGGAAAACAGTTACAACTACACATTGTTTGTGTATGCATAAGATTTTGCCTTTCTAAAAATCACTGGGCACAAACTTAGGAGCTGATTGGCCAGTACTGTTGTCATGTTGTGACATCATGACAATATTGGTCTTGTGCTATAACTGCGAGAGGATAACAACAACGTGGCAGAGAAACATGCATCACTTACATGCACACATAGAGCCTCTAGCATAGGACAGTTAAGTTAATATAGACTTAAATATCAGTTGCTGCCCCTGCTACTCACATACATGTCATTGGTATTGTAATAAACATATTATGTTTAAGCCCTTAGTTTAAGTGGAGTTTTATACAAATAGGAATTTGGCAGTATTTAAGGAAATGTTTGACAGGTCACAAATCCAAGGTTTTAGGTAGTCTATTTACAATTTGTGCAATGCAAAATCTGGTACTTACCTAATCCCTTATTGCTCCCTCACAGAGCTCAGAAGAACCATTAATTAAGATGTTAAGTAATATGTAATATGCAGGCTTTAATTAATACATGTAAAGTAGTCAATTTGGTAGCAATATTTTCTCTCAGCTATTGTTATAATCCCATATTTCTTATGAATATAAAGAATTATGAAGAATGAATCAGATATCTTCTCGAGCACTAATTTATCAAAAAAGAAACAATACTCAGGACTTTTTTCTTTCCAGCCTTCTCCAGAAAACCTTTTTCAATAAATATAATTGAACTAATAAATTTGGAAGTTTGTTTACTAAACAACAAATTATGGTATGTTAAAACCCATTTAAAAAAAAAGTTTCAATTAAAATATTTGAATGGAAAACTTTTCCGATTAAGTCAATTTTCAAACACTATAAACTGCTGCAAGTCCCTGTTTTGTAAATAAAACCTTTAACGTTTTAAAGAAGCCCTTATTGTACATGAAGCAAAAGCAGTAAGGGAGTAGACTGCCAATAGCCACTGTTTTGATTTATGCACATTAATACAGATCAATCACTAGGATAATTAGGAAGATCTCTGAGGCTTGAAAGCTATTTCTAATTATCTTAGTGATTGATCTCTGTAAATAAATTAATAAAATACAAGTGGAAAAGATCCTAATTATTAAAAAATTGATGTCAAGAAATGGAGAACGGAGTGGACTGCATACAAATTATGTCAATTATAGCTTAAATAGAAAATATTATTTAAAAATAAAATATTTTGAAGCTGTTCAATATGCACTATTCACTTTATTCTGCTGATTTTGCAGACACATTCCTGTGATTTTTGCATAACAATAAAGGAAATAGAACATTCTAACAGTATTTTTTAGAGGTTGTGTTTGCAGTCAACCTCATTACTTCATGTATTTTGTAGCCACTTTATTAGATACACCTAACTAATTCTGGACAGGATTCCATTTTTAAATCCAGAATAGCATGTATTCTTCATAGCATAATATAGATTAGAAAACCACACACACACACACCAAAAAAAATGCAGCTTAAATGTTACAAGGCTACTTAAAATCACCTATCTTAGTAGTGTAGCTTGATGGCAGGTGT